AGACGACTGGAAAACAGAACCAGAAACTCTTAATAAAACAGCTTTTGAGGTATTTAGAATGTGGGAGAAATGCACTGATGCTACAAAAATCTCAAAATAGGAAGCCCGAAATATTTGTGTCTCAACGTTCTGCAAGTCTAGAAGATTGTATGAAGAGAAGCTAACGAAGGATTCTATAGAATTCTTAAAAGCCCTATATTCATACATGAACCAACATACTAAGCGAAGAGGCGGTGTACCATAAGCCCATGTATTCTGAAACTACTTCAGAGATGTATGTCGTGGAGATGCCTTGACCTCCAGTTCGCCAAAACCTCTCCATACACACTCTGATCACTATGATCATTAAGGAACTTGATGCCCATGGTGTGTTGAATAGGCTTGATTCTTGGGACTCGATGAAATGCATCCTATGTAACCCGAAACTATCAAATTCATAACAAATACATTACGCATATGTTTTAATCTATCGGTAACCCGTAGATTACCAACAGACTGGAAGGACGCCATAGTAAGTCCTGTCTGCAAAACAGACACGAGATAAACCCAGAAACTATCGACTCCTAAGTCTAACTAGTGTGGCAGTGAAAAATTTTTCAAATGTTATTAGTAAGGAGCTGTTTAATTATTTAGACGAAAACTAGACTCTTTCCGTGAGGCAGTACGGTCTTTGGACAGACTATTCATATCTCACAAACCTACAAGTAGCTTGCAAAAGTTTGTGCTATCTCAAAGATTAAATACAACATTTATTAACTTTGGAAGCGCTTTTGACAAAGTCTCTTACAACCGTGTATGATAATGCATCTGGGTAACCAAGGTGCAGATACATACACAGTGAATAACTACCTGTTGTCCGGACACAATAACCTAGTAATCATTAGCTAATATTTGAAGACTACGCCGTGTGATAGCAGCAAAAATCTTTAAAACGCTATAGCTTATACGTAGATCCTTCGGTCACGTCAATTCCAAGTCAATTTTGACTCTACATAAAGTGTTTGATCGTCCTAAACTACAATATTACATACAACCAGATGACTACTGCCTTAAAAAGACGGAAAACCGTTTTTAGGGTTCAAGGAACCGCAAATGAGCTGATTTTCAGAATCGCAAAGCTACCGTATGAAGAGTGCCTTACATCAAATAGAGGACTGAATTCAGATATGGAACGGCAGGTGGAGTGGAAATAATAACCAGCACAGTTAGTAGATTTTAAGGCGAAAACTTGAGCAATATCTACTCTCGGGAGTAACGCGTTTTCCGAACTATCATAACAATGATTTGATTGACTACATTGTAGTTGCAAAGGTTTGTTTGAAATTAGTGGCTGGAGTTTTTAGACACATTAAAAACATGTAGGTGTTAGAAAACGAGACATTGGGCTCAGGCTCTTAACTGCTTTTATCAAGACGCTTTCAAATTGAAAAAACAACAAAGGAAGCGGTTATTATTACAAAAACCAGAACAGATTTGAACTGGTGTCACTAAACAAACCTTAAGTATCCAGCGTTCGTCTTATCCAAAGCCAAGTATCTATTATACAATCGATATATCTGTTTTGGAGAAACTTAAGAAAAAGATTAAGATAAGTATTTTGTGCTTACATCCAGTTTCTTCGGCGATCTCCTCAACTTCAGACTGATCAAGTGTTTTCGAAGTATTCGCGCCCATTCACCTCTCTTCAAGGCCGTCTGAAATACTTCATTCAAAACGTTTGAACGTAAAGCATTCTAAACCTTACTCTAACAACTTCTTAATCCCATACTGGCCTTATTTCTGGTTATTGCCTATAGATTTCTCTGGTGAATGTAAGTCCATTCTATGTGCTTACAGAGTCATCAGCTCATCATTTTCACTTGTTCTTTCATCTTCCAAATAATCTCATACGCTGCTTCTAGCAAACGCCCAAGCAAAAACGGTACCTCGTGGCTAGATGCAAACCAACCAAAGGCTGAAGTTACGCAAATGGTAATCGATAGCACGGAAGTCTCTATTAAGAAAGGACAATGATCTGTTTAGAATATGTTATTAGTGGAAGTAGTGGTCTCCCAGTCTATCTAACATGTCCAGAACTTGATAGATCCTTCTTTTCTCTTTCTACCGTTTCAAGTGTATCATTATGTAGGGCCCACAGTGCTTGTATCAGACCTTGGATGAATTAATTGAACGATTCTTTTCTCATTAAGAGCTGTCCAAACTTGGAATGCTCTCCCAGCGAAAGTAACCACAACCCCACAAGTGGACAGCTTCAAGAAAAGGCATGATAAATAGGTACTCACGTGCGGATTATTATCTCCCTCTTGGACCAGTACGTTATTATGCATGTCTCGACATTTATAGTTGGTATTACTCTCATTATTCTATCTTGTTTATTATCTATGTTTCCTATTATCTGCTTACACTTCTGCTGCCCCCCACAATCTTCAATACCAATTAATTAACAAGTTTAACTATTTAAATATCTCTGAAATTTTCCTCCTTTCATTAGCAACACAATTTTCTTCCTATTACTCTTCATAAGGCCACTAACTGGTCCGGCCTGGTTATGAGATAGATTTTGGCATGCAGAACCCCTGCTGCCCTGAGACGGATGCCGTCACGCAAATCACGGAACATACGAATTCATTAATACCTGTTATCTGACTAGTAGATTATCATCAATTGGACACTACAAAATACTTAGAAGCGTACTGAAACAACAAGAACGGAGTGCAAAGAAATCAGTCTGTTCATACTAGCCCATGAACAAGACATTGGATATGGGATATTGAAGTCAACATACAAGATATTTCAGGCGCGTACAAACGCCGAGAAAAAGAGAGCGACCCATGGAATACAGGTTTTCACACTAAATCATCAACTCCTGGAGTCTGTAAGCCAAAGTAATGTCAGCAACTACCACTGGCTTGGTTGACAGAAGACTAGACAATCGGAAGCCTACTAGAAAAGGCTTACATAGGTCTTTGTCATTCTATCCTCAGCACGAAAATCTGAACTTCATCTAAATTTAGAGTCTGTTTCAGATGCGGCGATATATGCTGAATTTAGTGGTTTTATTCTCCCTTCGGTAGTAAAGGCAGGAGGTCAATTGGCCTATACCAATCCATGCAATTTATAGTATTGCGAGAGTTCAATACGGCTTTGAATGTATCAACAGACCTTACAGGTTTATTTGCTTCAATCTTTATAAAGGATCATATTTAGATTATGGGTACAAAGTAAGTGACAATCACAGAAGTGTAAAAGGTTAAAACCAACAAGTGGTCAATAAACGTTTTAAAAAGTTTTCACTCTTTAATGGAAAGGAGAGGGGGTCAGTTGACTTAAATTAATCCTTGCAATTTACAGTACCGTTAATATACAATTCGATCTCGCTTTGAATTAATCGACAAGAGGTGCTAAAATTACTTGTTCTGGAAGATAACTCCGGTGGTTCACTACTCAGATGGAACTTCGGACGTAAACGATATGATTCGGGTTCTGAACTTTCTTCAAATGTCCCCAGATAGTTAGTGATATTGGAAGAAAAACATCAGACGTCAATACGAAGCCGATAATAAATCACATCGTAGCATACGGTAAGATAACGGAAATAGGTTGGGGGGTTTTGTCTTCATAAGATTAGTTCTTGAGGCCTCTAATCATCTTGACCTCTCTCCATAGTTTCCTCATACTTGAATCCGAGATTACCTGCTTGGGTCCCTATGTTCCAAACACTGCCTCGCAAATGCAGGGTATAATACCCCAAAAATTTATTCATCCAAGTAATAGAATGACTTACATGGGACTGACGCCTGTTACTCCTAGTAGCATAGGCCGCCGACAAGTTTCTGGTTGCCGTTTTTTAGTTAGCTACTCTTCTACGGGATAAGGTCGATAACCACAAGCTTGATCCTTCTTCTTTTTCCAGGACTGAGACCGGCAGTAACTTTAGAGAAATTCAAGGTGAGGCTGATTGGAACGAACTGGACTTGAGTAACGCTTCATTTAGACACTTTTGTGGTTGAAATGAAATTTTATTGAAGATTAAAATTAGTTTAAAAGTAATACCACTTTTAAGAAGAGAACGCCATTGGTTGAATAGAAATATTTATTATTATAACCAATCGTACCAGTGATTGTTTGACTGTACCTCTTGTTTATAACAGTCTTTACGCGCAAACTTTCTGTTTGCGTTGCTGCCAGTGTTAGCTCTACCAGTCTCACTTTCCTGGCTCGATTTCGGTGTTCTTTCAACACCAGGAAATCGTCAGCAAATATATTCTTCACCGTGGATTTATTCTGCTTCTCAGTGACGCGTTCGTAATCAGTATTTAGCGGTGATTATAGTCAATTTCAACTTGAACATCACGAAAGATTTATTGGGAGTGATATAAGATTTGAAACAATTAATGTAACAAAATGTACAGTGACTGCAGAGCAATAAATCCAGGTGTGAATAAGTCTGGTATAACCGTCATTATATTGAAATGAAATAAAATTGTTCAAAGTGTCAATTAGTCGACGTGCCTCAAGTATTTTATGCGTCAGTGTGTTGAGAAATCCGATTAACTGGTTATTAGCTATACAGACTATGAAATAAAAGAATAATGACTGGATCACATGTAAAGCATTTGAGTCATTCGCAGAACTAGTCTTAAGTTAATCAATAAACTCATATCAGTGAATTTACTAACCATATGCTCAGTCAGATATCATTATCCAAAATGAGAGTACAGTTATGTGAATTTAATGTGCCTGTATTTAAATATCGTGGGTTGATTACACCAATAAGTTTAAAGACTAAAAGATTTCCTGAAACCATTCATTCAATATAAATCCTGCGTGTTTACTACATGTTTAACAACACAAATATGAACAATGTTATGATGTGTTAAAATACGTACTACTTACAAACTGTAAGTAGTTACATAATATTTACTAAAACCGTTGGCAATTCATATTATCCGACCATTCCTATTCATCAACCCAACCGAAATAAACAGTTACAAAAAAAATTTAATATGCACACATTTATTGAAAAAAAGGCGAATAATGACAAGAATAAGGTGAGAGAAACAAAAAGAACAGAATATGAAGACAGTTTGTCTTTGTATATAAGAAGCCAGATTAACAAAACCACTGATAATTCAAATGCCAGTACAACATCGATACATCTTTCCATATATAGTAAAAGACACAGAAGTAATAAATACATAAACACGAGTACAAATTAATTTTCTTTTTAAAAAAAAACAAAGATAACCTATCAATCAGTGTGAAATGCATAGAAAATGCTTGCAATATAAAAAAAAATGATAGAACAGTACAAAAAATACAAACAGACAAACAAGAGTTTTATGTGTTCAATGATGGCGATGATCATATACTTTCTTTATTCTTATGGAAAGAATTCACACCAACAGACACAATTTACACACACACACACAAACGTCAATAGCTTAGCGAATGAATGCAAATACTAAAAATAAGATTTCTGTTCACTAGTTCAATGTTTCAATAGAGAATAAATAAATGTTCAACATTCAATTATCCTCTTCTAACAACACCAATAGGAAAGAAATGCCACAGAGAATGTCACACACACACACACAAAGGTCGGGAAAAAGGACATTGAAAATAGCCATTTAGATGAACAGAAGAAAAACACTGTCTTTATGTGTGTGTGTGTAGAGAGAGAGAGAGAGAGAGACCAAAAAACACAACCAAAGTGCATAAAAGTTACTCAAATATGCAACTGAGCAGAAAGGTTAAAAAAAAAGAAACATTTCATTATTCGAACGGTCTATTAGTCTTAACTTAAATGCAAACATCAACACAGTTTCTTCTTTTTAGAAAGAATGAGCAATGTGTTACACAACATTGAAAGAACTAGTTGCGTAACACTTGAACCTTGGTCAGCTCGCACATTTTGTCAAACAACAACAACCACAGATACACCACATACAGAGAGAGAAAAGAGTAGAGTAGAGTAGCTAGCTGAGTAGCGGTCAACCGTCGTGAAACAAGAAATGTTTTTCTTATAAAAAAATGAACATATAGAAGAGTAGTCTAAAAGCATTTCATAATATTTTTATGATAAGAAAGACTGTTTATCAAAAAATCTGTGGCTTACATTTATAAAAAAAAAGCACGACATGATAGGGGTATGTGTTATTTATAGTAGTAGTAGTAGTATATCTATCTATCTATCTATCTATATAAATATCTTCTCTATTTATCTATCTAATCGATTTCAAGAAGACAAATGCAGTCATAGTTAGTTAGTGGTGAATCATCATCATCATTTCGTTTTCAGTAGACAATAGAGAGCAAATAAATAATGACAGAGAGAAAGCGGCAAAGTAGTCGACGAAATCTAAGTAGTAGGCGATGAAAAAAAAACAAAACGAAGAAGAAGCCAAAAGAAGGTGAATAAACGCACTTGTACATGAGCGAGCGAGCGATCGCGCGCGCGCGCGCAAATGAGCAAACACGCGCACAAACAATATTCAATGTCAAAAGAAAAGATGATATCAAAAAACAGAAACAAAAAAACAAAAGCACGGACATTTTCTAGTCAACAATGAACTGAAGGTTTTACGCGGTCGATCTGTTTGTCTGTTTGCGTTGTAAATGCCCTTCATTCTACTTTGTGCTTCATGTTTTTATACGGATATTATTAGATTCCTGTTGTATTTTTTCTCTTATAAATGTCTTGATAATTCTCGGTTTAATAGACTGAGAATTCGATAAATGCGTCGACTTTTTGTCTAAAATAGAGAAGAATTGAAACATAATTACGGACTAATAAGAAATATAATAATTTGCCGGAAAAAAGAGGTTAACTGTGTACAACTAGTATCATACCTCCACTTGCTGGTGTCGAACTTAAATGTTTTGGTTTCGTGCCCAAACGCTCGACCTTAAGACCACCTCTGAGTTGACATCCATTGGTGTTATAAACTAACTTCACTCAGCCCACGGTATTGCACAAATACCATGTTCAGTGGGTAAATGGGTCACACCTACACGGTTAAATTCAGAGGTTTAGAAGGTAGGCGTCCGTGGACGTGGCGTAAGGTCCTGGGTTTGATTCCCAGTTGTGGAGTCGTGGATGTGTACTGCTGATGACTAGTCCCATACCAGGGGGAAACAGTTGTACAGCAATTCCAGGTTTCTAATGACGGTCTCACAATGATTGATTCATGATTTCAAAGACAATTAGAGAAGAGTCAAACAAGTTGATTTTAAGATAGAAACTGAAAGCAGCCAACGAGAGAACGTACTACATCGCCAAACTGGTTAGAAATGAAGGACCTATAGGCACCATGATTCCACATAGGCCTAGACACTGCTTCCGTCGCATTTATCAGCTTATATATTTGTCTCGACAAATATATATGGGCAAAAGTAAACGGACAATTAAAAATGGAACATGTGCTCGAATGGCTTCAAAATCAGTTAGTGACAAATGAACCGATAAACAAGGGAAACAGCGAACCATATTCATCGATATCAAAACATCAGACCGAAACAAAGCATAGGGTTGATACCAAGATAACCTTTGAAGCATTGTATAAAAATGTTACAGGATGAATTCCGATAATTCATAGAAACCTTGGTTAGTTGTAAATTGTAAACCCTTTCTATGTTTACAGCAACAACCTGTTGAAACTTTGAATTCGCCCGATAAAATCTTTAAGCCATTTCAAAAACCTACTGTAATGTGACAAACAATTTTCTATTCTTTTACACGTTTGAAATCATCAGCCAATCATTGTTAAACAACCATTAGAAACCTCGAAACACTGATAGACGGCCGTTTCGTCCTGGTATGGGACTCATCAGCGGCAGTGCGCATCCATGACTTCTGCTTCTCTCAGGATTCGAACCCGGGGCCTTCGGTATTGTGCGCGAACGCCTAACCATTAGACAACTGGGCCGGCAACCAATTGTGGTAATATCTAACTCTGATTGATCTACGGATTTTGCGCGACCTCACCCAGCATTGTCTTTGGTAGTTACTGCCTACACATACCCGACAGGGTTGAACTCCATTGGTCACGTCTTCTCAACTAGAACTCCGAGAATTTCCTCACGAAGAAGCTAGTCACCACTAGTGAGCACTATGTCTGAAAATTGTCAATAACTGATTGGTACGCATCCTATTCTTTCTCCGTTCTTTACGTTTACAATGATCTCACCTAATGTTTAGTTGAATTTTTATTTGAGTGACATTTTATGAGTTCTTTTTACATATAAAATGCCTTGACTAGTAATGTATACATGTGTATGTATGACATGATATATCACGCCAATAACATCATATATCACAACATTTTTCAAATTAATTTTGGTCTTCTCATTGTCACAATTAAAATTTTATTTTTAGAAAAAAAAAGAGAACTACATTGCATTGAATACAACATACAACAACTTCTGTAATCATTTCATTGCAACGATTAACATTAACACGTGAGATAATTAACTATGAGATAGAGTTCAATGAGAAAAGCTTACTTACTTTAATCACATATTCCTGTTCATCCGATGACCCATTATCGATTTCTGTTGTTAAAATAATCAATAAATCATATGAATTAGATCAATAAACATATAGATTGAAAGATATATACATTATATATGCAAGTATATTCATGGTGTTGTGCGTTAAAGTTATCATTTTCAGTCAGTCAGTCAGTCAATCAGTCAATCATTTACAACGTACTTACGTACGTACATCAGTTCATGTTGCCATACCACATCAGAACAGAGATGCAACTGTCAGTTGAAATCCAAGAGTGATAGCGCTAGTAGAAGTATTAACAGTAATGGAGAAGATTAGGTAGTGAAGATATGATTCAAGAAGTATAATTCAGTGAGATAAATTTAGGAAGAGAAAGATGAGAAGATGAGATGATGAGAAATTCAAAGATTGGGATTTGAGAGAACACAAAGAGTGGATGCAACTGCGCCATTGCAAACAATGTTGAGTTATGTCATTCAAGGTCGCTAACCATCGGTTACTATCGTCTCGCAGACCCTAACCTTGTAGCCTACATCTACTGAGTTTGATTTTTCATATTAAGGATACCTTTTAAACACGAAATGACATCAGCTTTAATCCAATGCTTTGTTGATAAACTTAAGAATTATGGAGTTCCAGTCACAAATGTCAGTCACTTAGTCATTTACAATGTAGAATTTCGTATATTACTTACATCAGTTCAAGTTGTTATATCACATTAGCGCAAAGACGCAATTGTCATTTCAAACTCCATAGTGATAGAAGTCGTACTAGTATTAGCGGTAATGGAGAAGATCAGGGTGAAAGACAGATATGATGAGGAATTCAGACGATTAGAACTTGAGAGAACACGAAGAATGGATGAACCAACGCCATTGCAAACAATTTTTAGCCATGTCGTTCAAGGTCTTTAACCATCGGTAACTTTCGTTTCGCAGGCCCCGATCAGGTAGCTTACATCGACCAACATGACTCAGTCCACTTGTCAGTGATTTCATGTATTTATGCCATGTTTTGGTCTGGCCGCCCCTAACTTTCTTCCAACCTATTCCTATATCGCAGAACATAGCTCGTCGAGGCAATCGGTGGTTAGGCATTCGTAATACATTTCCCAACCACCTCAACTGATGAAGTTTCACCACTTCATCTATTGATCTACCATCCTTACCTAGTACTCGTTTCCTAACGACAGCATTGCCTACTCGGTTGTCCCAGGATATTTGAGCAATGCTTTGAAGACACTCATGATCTGAAATTAGTAATCGACGAATATCCTCTACTCTTGGTAACCATGTTTCATACCCATTTAGTAGGAAGAAGAGAACTGCTATGCAGTAGATTCGTCCTTTGTATAGTTGACGTATATCTCGCTTACGCCTACGATATGCCTTAGCAGTCAAATATCTTACATTCAATACGATTTCGCAGACTGACTGAACTAACAGTGCCAACCAATCTTTTTTAATTCTATCATGGTGATTTCCCTCACCATGTCTGTCTTCACATTGCTTATTTCGCTTTGAAAGTCACCAATGGTTAGAGATCTTGAACGACATGGCTCAGAATCGTTTGCAATGGCACATGTGCATCCATTCTTTGTGTTCTCTCAAATTCTAACCTTCTGAATTACTCATCATCTTTCTCCTTCTAAATTTATCTCACTGAATTATACTTCTGGAATCATATCTTCGCTATCTAATCTTCTCCATTACTGCTAATACTTCTACTATCGCTATCACACTTGAATTTAAAGTGACAGTTGCATCTCTGTGCTGATGTGATACGTCGACTTGAACTGATGTAATTACGTACGAAGTTCTGCGTTGTATCTGTCTGTTTGTCTATCTTACTTCGCTTATCACATGTTTTTAGCTTGAATACACCTAGACATGCCTCATGAAGTGAATCAGCCAACTCGCCTTCTCCGCTTCGCTTCCCTTCACTTTTGCGCTTCTCTTTTTAGTCTGTCTGCTTGCGCCAATATCATAGTCCACACAAACCTCAATCTACATACTTTAAAATTCATTACTATTTACCTTTTATTAATCGTTTCATTGAATATTTTGAATTGATCATTTTAGAAGAGGTCAGTTGTTGTTCATTCGACTGTTTCACTAATGAATTGCGTCGATTACGTTCACTGGAATATGGCTTGGTCAAATTATTGATCAAACGTTTTTGTTTTAATGTTTGCATTTGATTCCAATTAGACAAGTCAATTAATTCATCATTCGATGTGGATGGAGATAAAATATCCGATTTTGAATTATCCGCATCACTGATACTACTATTATTTTTATTAGTAGTAGTTATAGTAGTAGTATTACTAGAATTTGTAGATACAGAATTAGATAAATAATGTGTTGGAGTAGATGTTTCACTACGAGATAAATAAAGTTGTAATTCATTGACATGTTCTTCTTCTGATGTGATCGATGCTAATGGTGAGTAAAGACTACCGAAACCAGAGGAATTAGGGCTAATATCGGAAATGTTGAATTTTGATATGGACTGTGAAACTGGTTGACCTGTTTGTCTATCCCATTCTAATAAATTGTCATTCTTGGCAATAGTTTTATGTAAATGCTTTTCTGTCAATTCTAATTCTGCAATAAGTTGACGTTGTTGATAACGACGTGCATCACGTATAGGACTTGCACAACTGACAACTTCAAATTCAGCGCTACTTAGTTCTTTGCTGGAACAAAAAAGTCGATAAAAATCTGTCAAATGACATGTTTAGATTAACAATGAAATGTTTGTGAATTAAAAATATTTGTATTCAGAATGTTCATTAAACAACGGATTTAGCTATACATATGAACTCACTCTGAGAAAGCTAACATGTACATAGATTAATAACCAACGTCATGCTGATATTTTGCTTTAGAGATTGTCTTATCCCTGTGATAATTCAGCGTCGCATGTACCGTCGTGTTCGGATTTTAGGTTTATGGAGATATTCCATGGTAAACTGTGTTTGGTCTGAGTTTCATGCCATCTGGTACTTATCACCAACGTATACATGCAACTTTCAGGGGATAGATGTGCACTGTCATATTTTAACCTCTCCCATTCAAACTGACAGTTAGAGACTTATCACTGAGTTCTTTGAAATGCCTAACGTTAGCAAGAAAATGGAAATTTTCACTAATGTACTGATTCTATTGACTGACTTTTCGTAAGCTAATCACAAACTGATTGAAACTGATTAGTGTCTGTCTTAGAGACTTGACGGCGTAACCGCAGAGCCCAAGGGATAACTGCTTGAGGCCGGTTACGCACGGCCTTTTTTATGAAAGGTTTTTTGAGTATTAGCTCCGCTAATTTTAAAAGCCCTCATTGGGCAGCCCTTACGGCCAGAGAAGGAAATCCGTGAGGTAGGGTGAGGTGTGATATCTTTAGGGTCGACCTTTTCTAACCCTTCCTTCCTTGTGAGAAGGCAGCATCGCTGCAGATGCTGGTTGTCCGAGGGAAACACCTTACTGCTGTCACACCCTTCCACAGTCAATCAGCAGTACGACTTCGCCCTCAGACCGTGAGTAGCTGCTTTTAGTCTCATCGTTCTCCAATCTACCTGCCTGGCATGGTAGAACTTACAGGAACATATGTTCTAGACAACGTAGGTCGGTTGGGTCATCACGATAGTCAAGCCTGACCACCAGTTCAAGGTAGCAGCTACGGTCGGGGTCAGAACTATATATATATATATATATATGCCCAGGTTTTCATCATCTACTCAGTCACCCGAAGGAAGAGATAGGATGAGAGTAAGCAGCCTTATCTGACACCAGCCTTCACTTAGGTTGAATCTGTGAGCTACCCTCTATGCACGATTTTTCAGTGTAATCCGTCGTGAGAATTCCGTATAATATTGACTATCTTCTCCGGCACACCAGTGTCAAAGAAGGCTTCATAATGATATCCTACCCATCCCGTCAAACACTTTTTATAGTTAAAAAATTGATATATAATGATGAATTCTATTCAAATGATTGTTCAACAATGATCCGTAGTTTCGAACAATCATTTAAGTGGGACACATCAATACACATCAACTTCCCTGATTGATGATGAGAAATACTTTTGATTTTACAAACTATCTACTTATTAGTTAAAAAGTAGTATAAAACTTATAAGATTATTTTGCACGTCCTTTTTTACCTAATTCCTATCATTCTGATCACTTTAGTCAGATCAGATACTGCACTTCCAAACATGGTGATAATTAGTTTAAGCTTGAATCTATAGAATAGAAAACCATAACCTCAAATTTTTGGGGACGTTAGATCCCCAGAACTCACTTGATAAAGCCTTAATTTTTGATTTTATGTTTTTTAAAATTGGTTAATCAGTTTACCTTTAGGTTTACATTAATACCCGGAAAATCCTTGACTCTCATTGGTTGATGCTTTGTTTTAGTATGCTATTTTTGTGACTCTTCCAAGGATGTTTCTATGGTTCATAAATAAACTCGATTTGTGTGCTTGTCAACCTCGATTTTCTGTGTGCTTGTAAAATACACTTTCTACGTCTTGTCAAAACTTCTTCCTCTACTTAGTGAGGCCTTGGGACTCACAGATTAGAGTAGCCTATCATGTCAGTGGATCCTTTGTCTTCACACTAATTTACCGAGTAACGTGAACTCGTAATAGCATTCAAGTATAGCATTTGACGAACATATCACAAATTTATATATCAATCTATTTCATAAGACGTATTGTTTAGTTCTACAGTTTTAAACAATCAAAAATTGTGTTCATAAGTGACTAGCTTCATGAGGTTTTCGAAGTTGTATTTAGAAGACGTGGTCAATGGAGTTCAACCCTACCAGGTGTAGGTAGTAAATACCAAAGACAGAAAGTAAGGTTGCGCGAAATCTTTAGATCGGAGTTAGACATTAACACCGTTTGATGCCAGCCGTCTCTGTGGTCCAGAAGCTAGGCGTTTGCTCGCAAGACCGAAGGTCCTGGGTTCGAATCCTGCGAGAAACAGGAGTTGTGGATGTGCACTACTGATGAATCCCATACCAGGCAGGACGGAACGACTGTCCTCCGTTGGTTCCCAGGTTTCTAATGGTTATCTAACAACGATCTCCAAAATACTCTAATGCCACCAAATCATAAATTAACAATATATATTAACCAAAATGTTCGCACTTACTCATTTTCATCAATCAATGTCACAGTGATATGCACATCTTTTTTCCATGTACTTGGACATTTTGAATTAAGAAAAGGAAATACCAAATGATAAATATCACAAAAATTATGAAAATCTATTTCCATCACTAGATAACCATCATTCATCAGTTTATATGTAACATTATTTTCATTTTGTACAGCTTGTATAAAACATAATTGTTCTTGTTTTAATAAAATATTCGGTATTTGCATTGGATCATTGTAGCTGGAAAGAAAATATAATTAAAGTTAAAACAACATGAAAGATGTGACGCGGTATGAGAGTAGGAGAGAGAAAAAATTTATTTATAGTGTAGTGTGTACCGATAGGTCGAAAACACAGGGCTTACTCCGAGTCTTTAGTACAAACTTACTTACTTACTTACTGGCGCTTCTGACTCCCGATGGAGCATAGGCGGCTGACCAGCATTCTCCAACCTACAATTTCCTCCACCTTTCTTTCTAGTTATGTCTATTTCTTGTTCATTCTTTACATGTTTGTTCCCAATTCTCAATGTAATGTGTTCTTTGGTCTTCCTCTTTACCATTGACCGTGAGAGTTCCGAGTGACAGTATGTCTTGTGACTCAACTGAGTGGTTTTATCAGTGTATATTCAATCCACACCCAACACGTCTTCCTGATTTTATCGTTCCTAAACCTTTGGACAGAGTAATTAATTTTTTATGTCTGAGTAACATTATTCCCTCGTCTTTCGACCCTGTCAACTGCCCGGTTTTATCTTGACCACATTTTCACTCTACGACAGGTCCTGGAACACAGATACACATTTAGGCGTCCTACAATAGTTGTCTTCCTGGCCCTAAAAGCGGCATTTGACTCTGTGGATCGTGAGGTTCTGTGGCAGTGTCTGTGATTGAAAGGTGTACCAATGAAGTACATTAACCTTATACAAGCCTCTACTCGAACACCACTGGTGGAGTGAGAGCTTATGGCGAACTGTCAACGGAATTCTTTACTTCAAGTGGTGTCCGTCAGGGATGTCCACTCTCTCCATTCTTGTTTAATTTTATCACAGGCATGCTCCTAGATATAACTCCGCCAGTAGAACCTTCGGGGCTACTGCCGGTCCCAAGCCCGGGTAAAGGAGGAGGGTTGGACATGGGGTTGGCGACCCCATTCCGTCGGAATCTCACTTGCCAGAAAAGCGCTTACCAGAAAAAATAATCCAAGTAAGTCGTCTGAATTTTCAGGAGTAGACCTTCTACCGGGTGGCTCGCTTATTGACCTAGAATGTGCCGATGACATAGTCCTACTTGATGAAGACGCTGACAAAATGCAGAGTCTTCTGACCACCCTAAGCAACAATGCAAGCATGTTCGGGATGCGGTTCTCACCCTCGAAATGCAAAATGTTGCTTCAAGATTGGGTTTCATCGGCACCTGAACTAGTGATAGGGAGTGAAGTAGTCGAACGTGTTGATCGCTTCACTTATCTTGGGAGTCTCATCAGTGCTGATGGCCTGGTGACTGACAAAATCTCAGCACGGATACAGAAAGCTCGATTGACTTTTGCCAACCTGCGTCACTTATGGCGTAGGCGAGATATCCATTCGCTAACCAAAGGAAGAGTGTATTGTGCAGCAGTTCGCTACGTCCCACTGCACGGATGCGAAACATGGTCGTTAAGAGTAGAGGACTTCCGTAAGTTACCAGTCTTCGAAGTATTGCTCGTGTATCATGGGACAACCGTATAAGCAATGCTGTCGTTAGGAAACGAATTCCAGGTAGGGTTGGCAAATCAATAGATGAAGTGGTGAAACTTCATCAGTTGAGGTGGTTGGGACATGTGTTACGTATGGCCGACTGCCTCGACGAGCTATTTCTTGTGGTGTAGGAGTAGGTTAGAAGAAAGCTATGGGCGGCCAATCCGAAACATAGCAGAAATCTATGAAATCATTGACGAGTGGACATAGCCATGTCGGTGATTGTCGACTACCTGGTTAGGGGCCGCGAGATGATAATAATCGATGGTTAGAGACCTTAAATGACATGGCTCAAAATCGTTCGCAATGGCGCCGTTGCATTTATCTCTGTGTTCTCTCAAACTCTAACTTTCTGAATTCCTGATAATATCTACCTTTCTCCTTCTAAATTTATTTTACTGAATTATACTTTTCGAATCATATATTCGCTCCCTAATCTTCTCTATTACTGCTGATACTTCTACTATTGCTATCACTCTTGGATTTGAACTGACAGTTTCGTCTCTGTGCTGATGTGGTATAGCAACCTGAACTTATATACGTACGTACGAAGTTCTGAATTGTATCTGTCTGTCTGTCTGGTTGTTTCTATTCCAGTGTATGTGTGGGCACCGCTTAATTTGTCTGACTATAAAAACACAGAGTCATGCTTCATCGCAAAGTAGGTGGTTCGCTCGCCTTCTCTACTTTTCTTTGGTAGCATGCTGTTCCTTTTCATCTGTCTGCTTAAATGATTCCATGAACGGCTGTTTGAAATGAGTTCTGTATTTGGCTTCTAATTACCGCCGTCGCACAGACGATGTTTGCCTAATTATGATGATATACAGAGACTGATGGGGAGATTTATCTCACAGCATATTCAACTATTCCTAAGCACTAAAGTCAGATCACTGGCGACTAAAATAGGTACTCATTAACTTTTATTTTAATCCGAAGAAAAATGAAATAAAAAGAACCGGATTGTCATTGTTAGCGCACGAGGATAGTGCCTAGAACTGGAAGCGAGTAAAGATGTCTCATCCTGTTTTTCAGGAATCGTCGACTGGATTTACTTGCATTGCACAGATGATATTCATTCCGGCACTTGAACCGAGTACCGTTCACTTTAAAAGCCATCACGTTATCCATTTATCACCTGAGTTCAGATCACCACTTACTTTTGTCTGACAGGGAGAAGATTAATTTGAATCTAGGACGCGCGTTTCGTCTTATTTACAACTCATCATCTGAATTTTAGTAATATTCATAATGACCGATGTGAATATTCTAGAAAGTATTTACCTTATTGGACAGCATTCTGTTGTTGTATATGGGTTATTTATACAGCAGATAAAAGTAGTTAACTGAAAATTTCTTAGAATATGTATAAGTGAAATACTGAATAAACACTCAATAGATCTTTTCCCAATAGTAACATCCTAGAGACTTAAAGTATTAGAGCGACTTCAAGATAGTTAGAGTCGAAGTAAGAGACCTCAGCCAATTTCTTCTAGCTTTTAGATTATAAAAATTAATAGTTTAGTGTCCTTTGGTTAGCGAAAGGATATCTCGCCTACTCCATAAATGGCGTAAATTGGCAAAAGCAAATCGAGCTCTCTGTATACAAGCTGAGATTTCGTCAGTCACCAGGCTATCAGCAAAGATGAGACTCCACAGACAAGTGAAGCGATCAACACGCTCGACTACTTCAACCCCTATCACTAGTTCAGGTGCCGATGCAACCAAATCTTGAAGCATTATTTTGCATTTTGTTGGGGGGAACTGCATCCCGAATATACTTGCATTGTTGCTTAGGATAGTCAGAAGACTCTGCATTTTGTCAGCGTCTTCACCGAATAGAACTATGTCATCGGCATATTCTAAGTCAGCAAGCTATTTTCCTGGTAGAAGCTCAACCCCTGAAAAACCTGAAGAGCTTAATGTTAACTCTAAGAGTTCTGACAAGTGGACTGAGTCATGTTGGTAGATGTAGACTACCTGGTTGGGGTCCACGAGACGAAAGTCACCAATGGTTAGAGACCTTGAACGACATGGTTCAAAATCGTTTGAAATGGCACAAATTCATCCATTCGTTGTGCTCTCTCAAATCCTAATCTTCTGGAATCGTCAGCACCCCTACCTTTGTCTTTCTAACCTTATCTCACTGAATTACACTTCTTGAATAATATCTTCGAACCCTAGTCTTCTTCATTACGTTAATAACTCTACTATTACTATCACTATGGGATTTGATCTGACATTTGCATCTCTGTGCTAATGTGGTATGGCAACCTGAACTTATATACATACGTACGAAGTTCTACGTTGCAACTGATTGTTTAGTGTTAAAAAGTGGGTGTTTAGTAATGAGAAACTTTTCATCAAGGTTCAGTATTGGTTCTTACACGTCAATATATCCACAATAGCTAGAAGAGTATCATTCTCTAAATGGTTCAAACCAATATCATCCACTGTTATTGTCAGATAAATTACCATCGAACTGTTCGGACTAAAATAATTATCTTCATTAGAACTGATGCTACTTAAAACATTGACCAATTATATTAGTGGTCTGAATTCAAACTGATCTTTAAAGTTCAATATATAATTTAGTTTACTAATTATTAAATCATTCAAATCATTAAAATTCCGCGCCAAAATTCAATGAAACATTCAAACACTTGTGAATTCGCTTAAAACATGTTCAATGTTCCAATGATTTTCATATAATTCTGATACAAAAAGAGTTATGCGTGTGTGGTTTAGAATAAATGCGTAACTTTGCATAACTTACCCAATCGCTGGTGTACACATTCCACCGAAAATTGTAAATGGTTTAAATCGTAATTTGAATTTTCTACTTTTTACTGAATTCAAATTGTCATCTTTATTATTATCATCCACATCAGCATCAACATGAACATCATTCGCATCACAATCGCCATTGTCTAAATCTACATCATCAATGTCATCATTATGATGATGATGATGATGATTGATTAATGGCGGTTCATTCTTATTCGATTTGAAATAATGAAATTGTATTCGTGTATCAATGACTCGGCCACGTATGACAAATAGTTTTGGTATACCACCTTTGGTAATAATTGTCTAAATCATATACAATGATCAATATAATACACATAGATCAGTTGGTTCATTTAAACAAAACAGTGAGAAAAACACACTAAAGATATCGATTTGAATTGTTAAAAATTGATCATTGAAAATAAAATTAGTTTCAATAGTAGTACAATTTGCAATTATTAAATTTTTTTTGAGAAAAAAAAAGGACTGATGATATTCAATCATTTTAAATTTAAATGAGTTATTTATCGATTTTCTAGGTAAACTCAAGGTAATTAATGAGTTTAAGTAGGTAATTTATATAAGTACATATATATATATATATATATATATCGATCGATCGAAAAATCGATCGATTTTTATGGCGAAATTAGTTATAACTATAATATGAAATACATATATTGTGTGTGTTTAAAGGACATCATAAAATTTATCATTTAAATTAAGTTATTTCAGTCTATTTTTTTTTCTGCCAGTATATAGTAAGACTGGTGTGCGCTACTACTTATACGAACGATACAAGTAGTATAAGAGGGACATGAAGGAAGTAGCCTCACGGTCAGAAGACGTAAACGGAAAGCAAATGGAGCAGAAGCAAGAAGTAAATGGAGTACCAACAGGAAGGAAAGGAAGCAACAACAGGAATGGAAGAAGAATGGAGCGTTGGAAGTCACGACTCAAAGATGGTGTGCAAATAGAGTGTTCAATGTAATGTTTTCGTTTCCGTGTCTGCCTCAGTCTTCTCAAGACGAGTTCAAGGAGAATTGGAAGAGCATCTCATGTGAAGTAGTTGTGACTCTGAAGTGGCTATCGAACTTGTGTAATGTAGTGGTGATCAAGTTGAAATAGATTGTTCTGTTAAGTTAGTGAAGTGTTAAGATATCTTATGTTACAATTTCTAGTCGTGACTGTGTCGAGTCGCCTTAATTGCACGCTATTATTATACAGTCAGCCAGTCAGTTAGTCAGCCTCAATCTAGAACTTCGTAGGTACATACGTACAAAAGTTCAGGTTGATGTGCCACATTAGCACAAAGACTAAATTGTCAGTTCAAATCCTATAGTGCTGGAGATAGTAGAAGTATTAGCAGTAAAGGATAAGGCTAAGGTTCGAAGATATTATTCAAGTAGTATACAGTGAGATAAAGTTAGGAAGAGAAAGATAGAGATGATGAGCAATTCAGAAGATAGAATTTGAGAGAAGACAAAGAGTGGATGCACCTGCACCATTTTAAACGATTTTGAGCTATGTCATTCAAAGTGTATAACCATCGGTTACTATCGTCCCCGCGGATCACAACCAGATCATTAGTGGCTTTCATTATCAAATGCAACTATACCCTTTGTGTTTTTTTAGCTTTGTTCACTCACGTTGATCTTCACACTTTCGTTACATGTATCATACCTTCAGGCTACACTGAAACTTCTACAACCTTGTCACAGGCTGAACTTTATAGATCCGACCGGACCAGTTAGGTCAGTCGGAGAATAGTAAAACCTAACGGAGAAAAATAACGATACGAGGGCAACGTTGTAAAGCTGACTGTACTGGAGTGTGTGTTGCTCGTAAACACTCAACATCCACAACTATTAAACCTTAACACAATGAAAGCAGAAGGTCATGAGTGGCTGATACTCAAAGTAGCAGCATCGGTCATGTGTGACCCACCTCATCCCCAATAAGCGTACACAACCTAACTGAATTTAAAGGTCTAACTTAGTGGATTAGAAACATGGCTAATGAAGCTACTCTGGTTTGAAATAGTGAGGATTAGAAATTCTAATTTAAAATTTAGTTAGATATTCAAAGGGCGGTTGTTTTAATCGACACCTATTGCAACTGGCATGTTATTCAAAATGATTTATCACTAACGGTATAAAATCTTTAAACTATCCATTCCTAGTTTTACTTTCTGGCTTCTCTAAATCTGAAGCTTCCCGACCGAAGCTGCTACCTTGACGTGGTGGTCGGGCTTGCCTATCGTGATGACCCAACCGAGCTATACTGGCTGGAACACATGTTCCTGCAGGTCCTACCATGCCAGGCAGGTCGATTGGAGAACGATGAGACTAAAAGCAGCTACCCAAGGTCTGAGGGCGAAGTCGTACTGCTGACTGCAGAGGGGTGTGACAGCAGTAAGGTGTTTCCCTCGGACAACCAGCATCTGCAGCGATGCTGCCTTCTCACAAGGAAGGAAGGGTTAGAAAAGGTCGGCCCTAAAAATGTCACACCTCCCCTACCTCACGGATTTCCGTCTCCTTGGGTAAGGGTGCCCACTGGGCCTTTAAGAACGGAGCTAATCCTCTAAATACCTCTCATAAAAAGGCCGTGCGTGACCGGCCTGAAGCAGTTGTCCCTTGGACTCTGCGGTCACGCACCAACACTAATCCATCTTCCTTTTCAGGTTCCTCAAGAAACAACCTTCCACGGTGTGGGCAGCCGGGAAGTGATAACCGCCCTCATACCCGCAACAGCACACGAGACCAAATTGTTCAAAATCAAATCCTTCCTACATTCCCTAATACCTCTCTTATCTCCACAACTAACTCTTCTCACATTCATTTATTACAGTGCACAGCTAATGCAAACGATGCGAGTTTGCGAAACGTCGTTCCTGGTCTCCTTAAACCCCGTTCCAAACTACATGTTGGAGCATTCAATGTACGGACATTGTGTCAAATAGGGCAACAGGCGTCATTAGCTAGGACTTTAGAATCTCGTTCCATCGATGTGTGCTGCGTCTCGGAAACGCGCATACAGGATCCGAGTAGCATCACTCATTTGACCTCACCATGTCAAGATAAAGAAGCAGCTCGATTTACCCTTCGTGTATCCGGTAGCCCTGATGCTGCTTCTAGGGGCCTCGCCGGTGTAGGTATAGCATTGAGTCGTAGGGCAGAACAATCTCTCCTTGACTGGATCCCTGTAGATAGTCGCTTTTGCGCTGTCCGACTGAACGGGACAGTAAGGACTCGGAAAGATAGGGACACTCGCCGTTGCCTCTTCGTCATATCAGCCTACGCCCCCACGGACTGCAGCCCAGATGATGTAAAAGATGAGTTTTACAGAAAGCTTTCGGACCTCCTCCAAAAAGTTAAGCGCTCTGATATAGTTATAATGGCTGGTGACTTCAATGCACAAGTAGGTAGACTAAGTGAAAATGAAAGACACCTAGGTGGATGTTACGGTCTCGCGGCTCAAAGAACAGACAATGGCGACCGTCTGTTGCAACTATGCTCAGATAACCAACTGAAATCTGAAGCTTGCGTGATTACTGACTAGTATTTATTCTATCCCTATTAAAAGTAAATGCATTTTATGAGCTAGCTGGGCAGTCGGCTGACCTTTTCTTCTGTTCTTCTGTTTTCCAATTCTCCCAACTAACCCAACTGTACATTTTCATATAGCACACAAGACACCGCTAAAAATCTGACACTTGCATTTATGACAATGACTTCTAACTGTTTCTGAGTTCATTAGAAATTTCTTACATTTAGGCGTCCAACAGAAGATAAAGGTGGGACGTATTGGAAATGATTTTTAGTTTCAAGGTTAACTCAAGTTCGAGTATTCAGTATATTTCCAGGTTTATGGATGACCTTGATATCCACGTAATTATCTAATCACAGTAGGACACATAACCGGTGTTGATGAATCACGACTGAATCAAATGTTTCAAAGTCTTGTCAGCTTCTATTTTCTATAAAAAATTTTACTCTATTCCCTCTGTAAAAACACATGACTATCAGGATCTCACAGCTCTGTAGATAACTGCGGTGGAGTTTTGTTCTTTGAGTTGGACGTTTTGGTTGTGGAGCTTTCATTGGTCTTCTGAACAATCTGAGTCAATCGCCAATCAATAAACACATCGACATTGACCCAACTTATCAACCAATCAGAAAAATCTTAGACAAGCATAGGATCAAGAAACAGATCAAAAGGGGGATACAGTCAGAACAAAGGTGTAAACAACGATAGGTGTAAGGTCAATAACAACCAATCAAGATCAAGGCTAGCAGAAAAAGCTACGGGTTATCAGCGGGAAAATTCGAATACTTCCCTTCCATTATCTGAAGTGTGTGCTGATGATGAAGCAGTTCAGAGGAAAAACAATGAAAGCTCCACAACCAAAACATCCAACTCAGCGAACGAACCTCCACTACAATCAACCATCTGAGCTAGAAATTTTCTGCACCATCTCTGTAGATGACTTTTGGGGTGAAAGTTGTTTTTTAATCAGATTTCAATACTGACACTGACAATGAGTAATCCATGGACATCTAAGTTCCAAATAACATGCCAAATGAACCACCACAACGATAAGTTTAGGGCTAGTAACAACCAATCAAGATCAAGGCTAGCAGAAAAGCTATCGGTCATCCGCGGGAAAATTCGAATACTTCCCTTCCATTATCTGAAGTGTGTGCTGATGATGAAGCAGTTCAGAGGAAAAACAATGAAAGATCCACAACCAAAACATCCAACTCAGAGAACGAAATTTTACCACAATCATCCATCTGAGCTAACTACCGTTGCACTTCAATTTTTTTTTAGAAAAAAATCTTCTTCTCATATAAAAAGATATAATTAACTGAAAATATATGAATGACTTACTTCAGCCACTTTACCATATTTTGAAATATCTTGAACAGTATTACCTTGATTGAGTAAGAAATTTAATTCTAGTTTCCTGAACAAAATAAATAAAAGCATTCATTGGATGGAAGGAAATAAATGAACATATTTTGATGATAACTAGAGAAAGATTTGAAAAACCATAGTTTAATTTGTTTAGAAAAAATGTTCAGAGATCAATATTTCAACAAGTTCCATTTGCAGTTAACAACCCTAATAACCTATTCATTACTTACCTATTCACTTACACTTGTTATCTCTAATATAGGACCAGCCGCTGACCAACATTCGCCAACCCACCCTTTACAGTGTTCTTCCCTCCAGCTCTTCATAATTGATATTCATTCTTTGTATGTCCGCTTCCAATTCCCAACGTAGTGTTCTTTGGTATTCCTCCGTTCAGTTTGGCGTTAAAGGTTCCGAGTTAAGGCTTATCTTTTCACTCAGTTGGATGATTACCGCAATGTATATCCTATCCACCTGTAATATGTTTTCCTAATTTATTCCTCAGTTAGAGGAAGCTGGTTTATTCTCTGCTACAGTAGGTTGTTACTGTTAGTTTCTGTCCAACGAGATCCGGAGTATCTTGTGTAGACCATTGTTAACGAACACCTGTATCTTGTGTATGATAGCTTTAGTAATCGTCCAAGTTTCTGCTCCATTCAATACAACGATTCTGACGATCCTAACATTGGCGTTCTTTTAATTTTGTTTTGAGCCATAGATTTACTTCAATCGTAGAAATGTAGCTCTTGCTTTTTCAATCCATGTTTTTACATCTGCATCAGATCCACATTGTTGCTATCTATGCTATCTAGATTTGAAAAACTTCTTGAGATTCACTTTCATCTTGGCCACTCACAGTTGATGATGTGAAGGTATGTCAGCTCCACTCTTCGTTCTTACGTCCTCCATTGTCTTTCTGAACGTTTTATTGATGCAGATATGGTCAGTTTGGTTCTGTGTTGTATGATCCGGTGAAATCCATGTAGCTTTGTGTATGTGTTTGTGTGGGAAGATGACAACACCTATGACTAGTTTGTTGAAGACATACAAGATTACGAATCTCTCACCATTTTTATTCGTTTCTCCCAGTCTATGTCGTCCCAAAGTGTCTTCAAATCCAGTGTTGTCCTTTCCAACCTTGAAATTTAGATCTCCTATCAGAATGGTTGAGTCCTTTGTTCGGCATTACTCAACGACTGACTGCAGCCTCTCATAGAAGTGATTTTTATCATACTCGCTGACGTCGTTGGTGGGCGTACAGCAAGCCTCTCTTTCTTTGCCTTGAAATATACAAAACACTCAATTGCTGACTGATTAGGACATTAATTAATTGGCTATACAGGATGCTCTTTAAATCAGTCAGTCGGTCAGTTGCAACGTAGAACTTCGTACGTATGTACAATAGTTCATGTTGCCAAACCACATTAGCATAGAGATGCAGATGTCAAATCAAATCCCGTAGTGATAAAGATAGTAGAGGTATTAATGGTAACGAAGAATACTAGGGTTTGAAGATATTATTCAAGAAGTGTGATTCAGTGAGATAAGGTTAGAAAGACAAAGGTAGGGGTGCTGACGATTCCAGAAGATTAGGATTTGAGAGAGCACAACGAATGGATGAATTTGTGCCATTTCAAACAATTTTGAACCATGTCGTTGAAGGTCTCTATTCATTGGTGACTTTCGTCTCGTGGACCCCAACCGGGTAGTCTACATCTATCAACATGACTCAGTCCACTTGTCAGTGACTTCATGGATTTGTACCATGTTTTGGTCTGGCCGCCCCTAGCTTTCTTCCAAGCTACTCCTACAGCACAAAATATAGCTCGTCGAGGAAGTCAGTGGCTCTATAAATCATCCTCAAAGCAATACATTGTGATAAATAAGTAGGAAGGTCAAAACCTTTATTTTCAGTCACTTTACAATGTTTAACAATTTGTATTTAAGGTTTTCCCTGGAAATAATACTTTCTGTGAGATTGTCAAACAAATGGCATACACGATGTTACATAATCAAACTATTAATAATCTTTTTGAACACAAAAAAATAAGTAAGGTCGCTCAAAATCTATAGATTGATCAAAGTTAGTAGACATTAACACCGTTAGGTGCCGACTGGCCCAGTGTCAAGAGGTTAGGCGTTCGCGCGCAAGGCTGAAGGTCCTGGGTTCGAGTCCCGCGAAGTGCACAATTCGTGGACGCGCACTGACGCTGATGAGCCCCACACCAACGCGAAACGACCGTCCAGTGCTTTAAGGTTTCTAACCGCGGTCTAACAATGGTTGTTTGATGATTTCTATATATTTTTGAAGCTATAATCTCTTACACGTTTAATTTTACACTAAATTAATCAATGCAAAATCATGCAGAATATGAGTTAAAGTTTAATATCAATGAATACAACCATCATCATGATAATGAACAGTAATCGGGTTTTAAGGTCAGCGAGATGCTACACACACACACACACACGCACACACACACACACAATTAACCTTGACTAAGTTACATTTAATCTGTAAAACGTATTTTTTGTATTTTTTGTATTGTAACTTATGTTAGTCGATGGTCATTATCGATTTGTCACGCAACTGATATGATAGTTAATGATAGTTAAATTACAGTGAATTTTCTGATAATGATAGACTGATTGATAAATAGATGAATTGTGCAAAAAATTTCATTTCCTTGTGGTGTAATTTTCTTCAATTTTCAATTGAAGAACAACTGTGACTCAAGACATTAATCAACCAACACCAAAGTCACAATATTCAATACTGATGTCAACATAGTTCTGCTGTATGGGGTGGCAACTTGGAGAACTACGAATGTCATCATCCTTGAGATACAGGTGTTTATTAACAGATATCTTCGCAAAATACTTCGGATCGGTTGGCTAGACATTGTCAGCATAAACCTACTGTGTCAGCGAATAAACCAGCTTCTTACAGCTGATGAAGAAATTAGGAAGAATCGCTGGAAATGAACAGGACACACATTGAGGAAATCACCAAACTCTGTCACAAGAGAAGCAGTCACTTGGAATCCTTCAGGTCAGAGGAAAGGAGTAAGATTGAAGAACACATTACGCTAAGCATTAAAGGTAGACATGAAAAGAATGAATAGCGGTTGGACGGAATTAGGATAGGAAGGCTCAGAGTAGAGTAGGTTAAAGAATGCTGGTCGGTGGTCTATACTCCACCAGGGATAGCTAGCTTAAATAAGTGAGTAAACATAATTGTGGGAGAAAGCAAACCAGATGAAGAAATCAAGAAGAATTGCTGGAAGTGAATGGGACACATATTGAGAACAACATCCAACTGCGTCACAAGACAAGCCTTCACTTGGGATCCTAAAGAGGAAAATCAAGAAACACTTTACGCTGAGAAATGTAGACCGATGTGGGGAGAACGAACAACGACTGGACAGAACTGGAAAGGGAGGCTCACTGTAATACATAAGAAATTCAGTCACAGGAACAGTTATTAGTCAACTCAAGTATATCACCTCCTATCATCTATCGACTGTCTGCTGGAATCACTGCTACTGACTTCCTATCCGTTTCCCCTACATCACTACAAACTACTCGTACACTTCAATCAAATGTGACACACAGAAGAATCAAATTTGACACATTTTCTACAATTTTCTGTGTCATCTACTGACTCGATTATAAAAATGGTTTCATTCTGTTTTTTTTCGGCTGGTTTGTCAATGAATAATACATTTTGATTAAGAATTCCTATGGAGATCAATAAAACAATCTACTGACAAGATTTTATCATTGAAGATCACATTATTCAGTAGGGTGGTTATCTGTCAGAAAATCCAACTAAACTCAATCGCTATCACCCAATCCAACCAAAATTACTTACTTACTTACGCCCGTTACCCCCAATGGAGCATAGGCCGCCCACCAGTTTTCTACAACCAACTCTGTCCTGGGCTTCCCTCTCTAGTTCTGTCCAGTGTTTGTTCATTCCTCTCATATCTTTCTCTATTTCTCGGCGTAATGTGTTCCTTGGCCTTCCTCTTTTCCTTTTGCCTTGAGGGTTCCATGTGAGGGCTTGTCTTGTGACGCAGTTAGGTGCTTTTTGTAGTGTGTGTCCTATCCACTTCCACCACTTCTTCCTGCTTTCCTCCTCCACTGGAATCTGGTTTGTTCTCTCCCACAGTAGGTTGTTGCTGATGGTGTCTGTACAACGAATCCGAAGTATTTTGTGTAGACAACTGTTGGAAGATGGCTTTGGTAGTTCTCCATGTTTCCACTCCATACAGTATAACTGTCTTGATATTTGTATTGAAAATGCTGATTTTGATTTTGGTTGAAAGTTGTTTGGGTGTCAATCCACCCAAACACCATTCATTTTTTCACAAGCAAATAATCAATACACACTTGGATGATCATTTTGTTTAAAATTGTATTATTGATCATTGAAATTTCATGGGTCAATAATAGAATAACAATAATAACAATACTAATAATTATTATGATTACTATTTAAATATTGACTATCATTATCACACTATCAATAACAATTATGTGAATAAAATAGTGTGTGTGTGTGTACGTGTGCGTGTGTGCGTGTTTGTGTAAACAAAGTTCACTTGTTTACACTTTCTGATTAACGCTAATATAGACGACACGAAGTCATTCATGCATACGTTCAGCCACAGCCATACACACACAAACACACCTACAGACACAGAGACACACTGACAGCGACATACACAATGTTACAGTACAGTGGCTTAATAATGATGATAGATGATGGTACACCTTTTTTTCGTATGTGTTTTATCAACGTAAACATATATTACTGAAATCATGAATCAATCATTGATAGACAACCAGTAGGAACCTGGAATCACTGAAGCACAGCCGTTTCGTCCTGTCTGCTATGGGACTCATCAGTAGTGCACACCCACTGGTGGACTGAGTCACGTTGGTAGATGTAGACTACCTGGTTGAGGTCCGCGAGACGATAGTCACTAATGGTTAGAGACCTTGAACGACATGGCTCAAAATCGTTAGCAATGGCGCAAGTGCATCCATTCGTTGTGCTCTCTCAAATCCTAATCTTCTGGATTCGTCAGCACTTCTACCTTTGTCTTTCTAACCTTATCTCACTGAATTATACTTCTTGAATAATATCTTCGAACCCTAGTCTTCTTCATTACCATTAATACCTCTACTATCTTTATCACTACGGGATTTGACTTGATATCTGCGTCTCTGTGCTAATGTGGTATGGCAACATGAACTATTGTAGATACGTACGAAGTTCTACGTTGCAACTGACTGACTGACTGACTGACTGCACACCCACTACTCCTACCACTTGCAGGATTCGAACCCAGCACCATTGGACGTGACCGGTTTAGTTCAACCCTTTCAGGTGTAAGCAGTAACTACTGAAGACAAATGGGTGAGGTCGCAGAGAAACCTTAGTTTGATCAGAGTTAAACATTAACACCGTTGGATGCCGGCCGGCCCAGTGGTCCATAGGTACACAATCCTGTGAGTAGCATGAGTCATGGATGTGCACTGCTGTTGAGCATTCCCATACCAGACAGGACGAAACGACTGTCTTTCAATGCTTCCAGGTTTCTAATGGTAGTCTAACAATAGTTGATTCAATCTCCATATTTTGAAAATAAAAAAAAAATAGTTACACTTACCCTTTTGGTGAGTTTGAATTGATTGATTTACTCTTTTGTGTTTTTGTGTTTGCTCGCCTATTGATTTGATCATGTTTAATCCGATTGGAATTATGCTCATTCATAGTAGTGGTAGTTTCATGTGAATGATAATTCCTAGTTGATATACTACAATCAGTATTCACTTGATTATGCATAGCCTTATGTAATGCTGCATTTTCTCTCATGCACGTGGTACTAGACAATTCTTCATGTCTTCTCACCAGTGAATTGATTCTATGCATCTCCTTGGTAACATTGTGCTGGATCGATTTGTCTTCTTGTGCATGAATTGTATTGTTGTTAGTTGACAGAGAGGATGCAACAACAGCTGACGCTGATGTGGAATACTGTGATCGATTTGCATTATTATTATTATTACTGTCCCCTTTATTCTGCGCTTTCCCTGCCTCCTTATTATTGACAATGAGGGATTCATCACAGCGGACATTATTAGTATCATTATCAATATGATAAATGTCTAGGAGTAATTCGTGAAAATCTTGAAATGCTTGCTGTTGTTTGCCCGAATTTACAGGGATTGACTTTGAATAGGATGAAGGAAGTTGATTGGTTGATGACTGAAAAAAAAACACAAATGGATAGATAGCCATTGAAATGATTGGTTGAAGTGAAGGAATAATAGATAATAAGTATTTGTGTTTATATGAGGATTATTGATATAAAAACAGGTTATTGTCTGTAAGTGAAGACAATTTACCCATCATACATACATACTGATACTTACTTACATGCTACAGCTTGTGTGTTAGTTGTATTCAATGTTCACAATCTATGAAACTCTATTTTCATTCTAGAGTTATGGAGATTATTGGTTTTGTTGGATACAGGGCTCAGTGCTCGATATACACTCAAATAGGATTATACTTAGTCAATTAATGTAAGTACGATTTTCACAGTTGAAATCAATAATTGATCTCAGCTATGCCATTATTTAGATCCCTACAATCATAGGATTACTAATGATTGACTGAGTGATGTGAATTATTCTTTCTGGTTAGCGTTTTATTAGCAAGTTGGTTTTCTACGGGATGGGGATGCTAACCCCATGCCCAACCCTTCTCCTTTATCCGGCCACTAACCTTAGGACGGCTTCCGAATCAAAAAGATACAGGTGTTTAATAATATGCATCACGGGGTTGTGAAGATTGTTAAGTTAAACATTTTTTGAAACCACGAATCGATCAGTGTTAGACCACCATTAGAAACCTGGAAGCACTGGACGGCCGTTTCGTCCTGCTATGGGACTCCTCAGCAGTGCGCATCCACGACTCCTGCACCCCGCAGGATTCGTTGACCAGCTGCAACCTACTTTGTGATAGATTCCAGCTGAGCACGAAATTAATAAAAAGTACGGAAGGTGTACTGGATATTGATTGAAGAAAGCATCCAAATGAGTCATGAAGCAAGCCCTCACTCGGAATCCTGAAGGCCAGTGGAAAAGAGGAAGACCAAAGAACACATTACACTGAGAATCGGAGAAAATTTTAGAGAGAATGAATAGCTGCTGCTTAGAACTGGAAAGGAAGGTGGAGGAAAGAATAGATTGAAGAATGTTGATCGGCAGCCCATGCTCTATTCGAAGTAACAGGCATAAGTAAGTAAGTAAGTAAGTAGGTAAGCTCAATAGTGACTAGTGTCAAGTTTTACAACTGGATTTCATGTGAGAAGCTCAGACCAGTGGAGTTCCGTCAGAGTCGGTTTTGTAACAGTTGTCTATTGTAGATAAAAATTAAGACATTGACACTGTTTCACACCACCGGAACAGTCATCTATAGATTAAACGTTCTTCAGAGAGACCAAACGTTCTCGGTCTGATTCCCGCACGTAAAGTCGTGAGTGTTCATTACTGACAAAATAGACGTCTAATACACTTAGGTTTCTGATGGTGTTCTAAATAATATTCATGATTTCAATTGTGAAAACACTACAATCTCCTTTTATTAATGACTATTATTTCTTAAAAAACTTTTTTAAATTAATACGTTATTTTGTTGTTTTACTGTATAAGCGTTCAAATTTCAATGTACAATATTGTTTTGAATTACTGAAGTGTACTATTTTGATCAAATTCTATTGTATAATTGAACAAAGATCACAACAATCAAAACTATCCGGTTTAAATAATAATTGTTTTTTCAAAAATCTACTGATATAAATTAATCCGATTTTGATATTATTGAGGAAAAATAAAACAGGCGTTGAGAAATCAGTGAGAAAATCAGTGAACATTTAACAACTGGTTCGTTGTAATGCAGTTTGAAATGGTTTTGGATTATCTCGTTGTTGATATTTTCTACTGGAATTCTGATCACTCTTAGTTACACATATAAGCAGCATCCTATGCGAATTGCTCCGGTATAGACATTGTGGTGGAGTTGGCTGTGTTAAACTCTTCATCTAGGGGTCACCAATTTATGTGGCCGCGTTAGATTCGATGTAGGGCTCGGTAGTTTAGTGGTCTTGGAGATGACTCTTTTATTTAGCTAGGAATGTTCGAGTATGCTATGAAATAAATATCTCCTTCAGTTTCCGTATATCATCATACTTATTAGGCGAACCTCGTTTGTGAGACGGCGGTAATTAGAATCGGTTGGATGAGTTTATTTTCAGCGGAGCCAAGTGAAGCGGAGAAGAAGAGTGAGTCGAATCCATTGAGATAAAGCATGACTCAGTATTAAAAGTCAGTCAAAATAAGGTAGACATGTAATAAGCGCAAAAGCATCTTGCATAGAAACAACCAACACAAAAACGAATGGTTTACAAGGTCGAAAGATGAGAGATTAGTCAATCAATCAGTCAGTCAGTTACAACGTAGAACTTCCTACGAAAGTACATCAGTTCAAGTTGTTATACCACGTCAGCACAGAGACGCATTTGTCTGTTTAAATTCAATAGGGGTAGCGATAGATAATAGAAATATTAGCAGAAATGGAGTCGATTAGGGCTCGAAGACATTATTCGAGAAGTATAGTTCAGTGAGATAAATTTAGAAAGTGAAAGATAGAGATGATGACGAATTCAGAAGATTAGAATTTAAGAGAACAATAAGAGTGGATGCAGCTGCGCCATTGCAAACGATTCTGAGCCATGTCATTCAAGGTCGCTAACCATCAGGTACTATCGTCTCGCGGACCCCAAGCAGATATTCTACATCTATCAAAATGACTCAAGGAGAATGGATTGGTTAAATTATCCAAAGGCTCGGGACAAACATGTGGGCTCAACATAAAAGTATATGCATATATAGAATACAGCTAGCGGTGGAATCTACCAGGACGATTGTTTCGCCCTATTTCGCAACTTATCATCTCAATATATACCCGCCTCATCCTACAGTTGACGTTCGCTCCACCTCTCACAATCATTGCACAAACGAATAGCTTTCTAAACTCACTAGTTAAATTTTAAAACCTGATATCAACGACAAATGCATATCGGATTAACACTTCTAATCACAATCTAAATTAGGCTTCTTATTAAAAATCAACTTACATGAAATTCCGACAGAAAATAATTATCCACTCCAATTTTTCGCATTTCCTCTGTTTCTTCTGTTACTGTTGTCGTATGAGTCATGTTTACATTGATTAGTGAATTCAATCGATCCTCTCTTGGTATGTATTGATTTTGTGAATAATTCGATAAATGTGTATCATATTGATAATGATCATGATGAATATCATTGTGCAGTTGTTGCGATTGTAGTGGTTGTGGCTGATGACCATGTTTACTTGCATTTTGATGATAGTCATAGTGTTCAACTCTTTGTAACAAACTATGATTACTATTATTATTGTTATTATTATTATAAAGATTATGACAAACTCCTATTGGAGAAAAATCATAATCAATAAAATTAGAAATGCATGGTGTTTGTAATTGGAATTCTGTTTGAACATCTCTGCCATACACATGATTTTGTGTAATTGATGATGTATTAATCTTATTCATATTTTGTAGATATGAATTTTTAAAAGAATACAAAAAAAATTTTGTGCGTGTATCAACCAACTGAACACTTGAACAATTGAACAATTGAACAGTTGAACAATTGAAGGCGGGAAAATTGAAACACACTCAAATGTATGTGTGTTTTTGTCTTGGAATAAAATAATTTTTATTAATCTAATTAATAATTTTTATAGATATAAATAGATAGATAGATAGATATTTTCTTCTTGTTATAGTAGTTAAATGCAAAATAAATGTAATCATGTATGTGCGTGTGTGCATATAAGCGGTTCAATGTTTCAATCGTCTTGTTAATTAATAGTAGTAATAATAATAATAATGATAATAATACTCTGATAGAAAGACAATACCAAGGAAAATGCAAATGATGTTGAAGCATATATATAGAAAAAACAGCAATTTCTAATCATTAATTAAATCACACACTCAATTGAAATCTTTCATAGTTTTAATTTTTCTGAAATTGAAAAGATACATTTCTAAAATGAGAAAAAAGAAAGAAAGATTGAATAAATAAAAAAATAATGTAGTTAGTATGAAAGTGAAAAAAGTGTTAAGACAAATATTTATTCAATATTTATTATTAGTAGTAATGTTAAAACTTGGTACAAAGAGTCATTTAAAATATGTAGACGGAGATGTGCGGAGCTTCCTGAAGCAGTTTAAGGCCGTAGCGGAGCTGGTGTGTGTGAAGGAGCCGAAATCAGCAGCTGGGGACGCTGCTGAGAGGTAGGGCAAAGGCCGTAGATGACAGCTTGGACGGTGCTGGCTGGAAGACGGCGTGGGAGACGGTCACCGGGCGGCTGATGACGGAGTTCGACAGCACAATGGACAGGGAGGAGGCGCTGCAGAGGTTCCGGTTGGCGAGGTTGTCTGTCCCACTGGTGCTGGCTGTGGAGCTCACGATGTTGCTGCACCATGCGCTGCCGTGTGTGGATGGGGAGTCGGGGGCACAGTTGTTGGCGTCGCAATTTATCGAGAGTGTGCCTGCCGCCGTGTCCCAGCAGCGGGAACTAGTAAACGCTACACGTTGGATAGATGCCGTATCCATTCCAGACCAGCGGGCAAGAACAATGACCGAAGTGGTAATCCGGCATATTGTAGCGTGTCACGGAATACGGAAGGTGATATTAACTGACCAGGGTCCCTGTTTTGAAAGTGACGAGTTTAAAGCCCGTCTAAAGCAGTTTGGCATCAAGAGGATACGAACTACACCGTATCATCCGCAGATAAACGGGCTTACAGAGAGAAACAGCCGGATGTTAAAAGAATGGTTAGCATCTAAAGGAGGAGACTGGGAGAAAGAGTTACCATTGATTTTGCTGATCCCAAAGTGTGAAGGACCGTACGTTATCACGGAGAGACGCGGCGCGGTTTACACGATCCGGAGAGAAGACAAGCAGAAGCGCGTAAATGCTAGTCAACTGCAGAGATGGTTTCAAGATTATCAAGTGTATGAGTCACGAAAAGCACCAAAGATGACAACGGTACGGCAATCAGAAAGACTATGACGACAGCTTATTAAAGGGGGGACGAGTGTGGTGCGCGCTACTTATAAGTAGTATATGACGCGAGTGTAAACGTAATGTCTGGCAGCAGAAGATGGGGGAAGATCAAGAAAGGAAGAGTGGGAACACAATGGAATTTGTATGAAACGCATGAATAGTGAAATGTCAGACAATCGATTGATGATGGATTGAAGATTTGCAAATTAACCGTTTACGATATGGTTTTCCTATTTTACTGAGTAACTCTGTAATTTGCGCTAAATACAATTCGGTTGCCCTTACCTGTGTTCTCCTTCACTACAGTCCTCTCAGTTCAGTAAATAAAAGCCCCATCAAGAGAAGGCAGTGAGCAGGACTTTTGTAGCTATATAAGAGCGTTTCAGGAGAGAGAAAGTAGATCCTCTCTACTCTCAGCTGTATCAGAGTATTTGGAGGTATTTTTATACAAAAGGGAACTCTACGATAGCTGCTTTTAGTGTAGTTTATTAGCATTCAGTGCTATACAACTCAGGATTAAACAGTAAAGTTTATATTCTAACTGCTAGTTTACTGAAAGCAAATCAAATTTGACTAGTTTCATTTTCAAACATAAAACATATTCAAAGTTCTAGTAGATGTCAACTAATTAACCAAATCTCAGAATAACTTATTGATACAGATTCTGTCATTAGATAAATAAAAGTTATCAGAATTTCGCTTGAAAGGAAAACACCTATATAATCAGTCAATTATGAACAAGGCGATCTTTGATATGCTTTTAGGGATATGAAGGTGGTTGAAACTTCTCAGTTCGTCACATTGTGAAAGGAAACTTTTAGAGATATTCTAAAAGAAAGTTGGCAATGACCTGAACACGTGATCACTGTACTCAAGTGTTCGGGAAGTTTAGAAAACCGTAAATCTAAAATAAGGCAATGAATGAATTCGTCTACTACATTGTAAAAGATTTGGAAGTATATCGCTCAGTGTTTTCACTCACTGAGTGAGATCTTTGAAGGAGCTTTAATCAGGTGGTGGTCTGTGTATCTAACAAGATGACTCAGTCTAATTGTCAAACCAAAGCATAGCACAAATCTGTGGAGTTACTGACAAATGGACTGAGTCATGTTGGTCAGTGTACACTACCTGGTTGGGGTCCACGAGACAGCGGTAACCGATGGTTAGAGACTTTGAATGACATGGCTCAAAATCGTTTGCAATAAGGCAGATTTATCCATTCTTTGTGTTCTCTCAAATTCTAGTCTTCTGAATTCCTCATGAACTCCATCTTTCTCTTCTTAAATTTATTTCTCTGGTTTATACTCCTTGAATACCATGTTGAAACCCTAATCTTTCTGATTACTGGGCATACTTCTACTACTTGTAGCTCAGGTGGATGATTGTGGTGGTGTCTCTATCTGAAGTTCGTGCTGATGATGTTGTTCAGAAGAACAATGAAAGCTCCACAACCAAAACAACCAGCTCAGAGAACAAGACACCACCACAATACTTCTACTACATCTACCACCATGGCTTTGGAATTGACAGTTGCATCTTCGTGCTAACGTGATACGGTAACTTGAACTGATTTACGTTCGTACCAAGTTCAGTGTTGTCGGTGACTGACTGAATTTCATGAACTTATGTAATATTTTGGATTAACTATCTTTAACTTTCTTGAAAATTTATTCCTATACCAGTAAACATGACACATCGAATCTGGTGGTAGTTGAACATTTTTTATCACATATTTTAACCACTTCAAATGATAAAGATCCACTACCTGGTCGATCAATTTTTTGATCCGTGCCTCCCAGTACCTCACCTATTCTTATCTTTGTAATATTCAATTGGTGACCTCAATATTTTGAGATTGTAGAGACATTTTGTAGCTCAGGAGGATGACTGTGATGGAATTCTGTTCTCTGAGCTGATGATATTGCTCATGGAGATCAACAAAAGTTCCATAACCAAAACATCCAGCTCAGAGAACGAAACTCCGTCACAATGACCTCGACATACACGATTTATTCTTTGAAGGTAGTATACCGAAATTCTACTCACTGTTTAAGAGCAATTTTAAGGCACCCATTCTGTGTACGGATTCCGTGGATGATATTTACTAACTAATATTTGGAATCAGGGTACTTTTTTCCAAAACCCAGACGATACAACGCAAATCGGTTGAAAACCTCATTTATAACTGGTGATCACAGTGAACATCCAGGGCCATGAATAAACATCACGTCGAACTAACTGGAAAACAAAGGTCAGAGCATAGTTCATGCGAGATTTCTACTAAGCCGCCTATGCTTCACGAGAGGTCACAGACGTAAATGCAAGTTAAGTAAATACTATAACCACTACATGGAAAACGTTTACAAACTGTTCTTTTTATCGATTTTTACGTGATTTGATTTTTGCTAACTCACTGCATTTTGTATTGATCGATTACTGACACGTCATATGACATAATGAGAGAAACATGATTTACTTCAGATTGTTTAAGATTTTTGGTTACATAATCATTGACGTTCGTTATTTTCAAACAACCGATGATACACTTCCGTTCAGTTGATCTTTTCAAAGAAAAATGAATCTTTTAGTTTGGAACTGATTGTTAGATTGTTTTCAGTTGCCTTTTCATATTTTATTAACAAGATCAATTAGAGTACAATAGTTTTATGTGTCTACTCAATCAATTCACATTTTTTTGCGAATATTCTAATATCAGACTGGACAGAAATCTATATTTCATGAAATAAAATCATTAATTTGGATAAGTCATTTCCCATCGGTCTATGCGAGACAAACATGGAATACTGAGAGGCGTTGGGTGGTTGTTTTATCCAACTGAAGGACTACTCATTAGTGAGCATCTACGAACCCACAACAAGATATGATAGGTTTATCTGTGTCCTACTACGACACCTGTATACTCAGGTCATGCTTCATTCCAAAGTAAAACTTAAATAGAAAGAACTCATCAAGTTTGTATGAGCGGCCAAAAGGAACATGGCATAAACCCATGAAGCCATTGACAACTGGACTGAGCCATGTTAGTAGATGTGAACTATGCTTGGTCGGGGTACACGATACAATCGTATCCGTTGGTTACATGGCCAGCGAGAGAAGAGGATATCTGTAGCTTATAAGTATTCGATCATAGATGTCTTCGAAGCATTGCTCGTATATCCTGGGACAACCAAGTAAGTACCGCTTTAGTCAGGAACCGAGTACTAGGTAAGGATGGCAGATCAGTAGATGAATTATTGAATTTTCATCAGTTGAGGTGGGTGGGACATGTTTTATGTATGGCTAACCACCGACTGCCCCAACGAGCTATGTTTTGCAGTGTAGGAGTAGATTGGAAGAAAGTTAGGGGTGGCCAAACCAAAACATGGCAGAAATCCATGAAGTCACTGACAAGTGGACTGAGTCATGTTGGTAGGTGTCGACTACCTGGTTGGGGTCCTCGAGATGACAGTCACC